TGGTCTCACCCGGAAACCTGCAGTAATGTCATCAGTTATAGACGTGATGACAGTCGGCCTGATGGTTCAATTGAACTATGCCGTGATGATGATGTGAAATGGGCTCACACAGCCTCGCTTTTACGACACCGGATAACAGACACACTGTATATTTTTCCTCCTTAATTCCATTTATTTTCCATTTTGCGAAAGAGGAAATTCATCAGTTGCCTCACCTTCAAAATTCAACTTTATCCTAAATGAGTCCAGAAACATTAACATTTAAAAAAAAAATGAGTATCCTCAGAGCGACTGAGAGTGAAGCGTGAAAGGCTGGGTTTACAACATGGTTGCTGTCACAGTACGTTTCAATTCAGTTTTAATTTTCCAGCACCAACTCACAATAAATCAACTCAAAGCTCTTTATATTGGCAAGTGTCAGAAACGTCCAAAAAGACGAGATTGCCCGTAAGCAAGCAAGCATTTGTGACAGTGGGAAGGAAGAACTCCCTTTTAACAGGAAGAAAACTCCAGCTGAGCCAGGCTAACACAGGGGCAGCCATCTGCCATGAATTGGGGAGGCAGAAAAAAAATTAAGAAAAAGAGAAGACAAAAGTTAATGCCATGCAGCAGAGTGCATCATGGGAAGTCCCACACAAGCCTGAGCCTACACCAGCTCAACTAACAACTGATTCAGGTTCACCTGATGCAGCCATAACCATGCTTTACCAAATCATTATCAAAAGTAAGAGTCTGAAGCCTATTCTTAAAACAGAGCCCGTCTCCTGAACCCAAACTGAGAACTGGTTCCATAGTGGAGGGGCCTGAAAGCTGAAGGCTCTGCATGAGATTGAAGGAATACAACACTCCAGTCTGGAAGTACTAAATAAATGAACTGTGTCTGTGAAGGTTCTCAGTCATCCAGGTCATCGTAGTCAAAGGAGCTTGCAAAGAAAAGCGTCTGGACTTCTTTAAGTTGCTTGAAGACGTTTCACCTCTCATCCGAGAAGCTTCTTCAGTTCTAAGGTCAAATGGTGGGGAGTCCCAGATTTAAACCTAGTGGGAGTGTCCCCCCACAGAGGGACAAAAGGACCCCCTGACTCACATCCTGGGCCATCTGACCTCAGGAATTCGTATGATAAGGTGGGGCCAGGTTTCACAATGAGCTCACCTGAAACCCTGGCTGATTGGGACCCACACCCAATTTCACACCTTGGCTCATCAGGGGGTCCTTTTGTCCCTCTGTGGGGGGGACACTCCCACTAGGTTTAAATCTGGGACTCTGCACCATTTGATCTTAGAACTGAAGAAGCTTCTCGGATGAGAGGTGAAATGTCTTCAAGCAACTTAAAGAAGTCCAGATGCTTTTCTTTGCAAGCTCCTTTGACAATAAATGAACTAATTTTTCAGCGTCAGTCTGAGACAGGATGTTTCTATTTTTAACAAATATTGTGCAGATTAAAGAAAACAGTCCTACATATTTGTTTAATATGTGCAGCGACGGATATATCCTGTTATAAAATGGCTCTAAGATTTCTCAGAGTGTTACTGGATAGCCTGACCCTTTTGTTAAATAAAGGGCCTAAAATGCAAGTTATTGGTTTACCATTAGACAAAGTTTGATAACTTCAGAAAACCTTGGGCTATCAGAATTGCTGCATTTCAGCTACTTTAACTTTACTTTTAGATGGATTTTTTTTTAATCTGTATATATAGGCATTTTTAAGCATAAAGGGACCAAACTACAGAGGAATAAAGCTGATCAGCCACAGCATGAAATTATGGGAAAGTGTAGTGGAAGCTCGATTAAGAATGGAGGTGATGATTTGCGAGTGGCAGTAGGGTCTCGTGCCAGGAAAGAGCACTTTGAAAGTCAGACGTAGACCCATTGAGACTTTGTGGATTTAGTCAAAGCATGTGGCGAGGGAGGAGGTGAGTTACTGCATGAGGAACTAAGTAGCAGGAAATGGCACACATGAGGGCAATGAGGTGGGATAGGTGGTTTCAAGGTAGAGGTGAGACTGCATCAAGGGTCATCTGTGTGACCTGTCCTTTATAGATATGAATCAGATCAGTAAAAGTATTTTAAAGTGTATGAATAAATGAATCAAGTCCAGAACCGTATTACTTAAAACTGAGTAACTTTGAGGTGGTGTTGCAGCATTTTAATAAACCTATTTTAAACTGCATTTTACATACAATCTTTTTTTGTAGTTTCTGTGTATTCCTTGTGGTCTAACAACAAAGCTGTGGAAGAAATCAAGATACATGTTGTGTATTATTTGTGCAAAAATGATGCAATCATGAAAAAAGCCCATCAGCTACGCAGTCTGAAAACCTTTCGACTGGTACTTTGGGTCAAAGCGTGACTTTTGTGGCTTGTGAAAATAAGGAGCAGGCTGATAGGAGATCTCACCTAGGGAAGAGGCGTTCAAATCAGTAAGACTGAGAGTAAGTGCATGCAGGTGAAAGAAAAAGGAGCACAGCAGAGAACGAGTTGGTGAAGATGAATTTGAATATTTGTGGTCAACTATTCAAAGCAGCAGCAGGGTGGAGGAGATGGATGAGAATATAAGGAGAAGGGTTAGAAGATGTCATGTGGCTTAGACAGTCACTCAGCTGGATGCAGCTGAGTTAAAGATGCTACGATTGTGATTGAGTGGGACTGTTAGGGAAGAGTGCAGAAAGGTGGGTTATTTAAGATCTCCATGTTTTCAATCATTATCCAACACCAGCCTCTTATGTTGCTCACAAAAATACACAAATTAATAAATAATAAGCACATAAAAATAAAGCTACTATTTGTGGTAGAGTGTAGAGGATGAATTCAGAAGTATGACAGCCTGAGGAGATAAACTGCTCTGATGCCTGGAAGTTCGGCAGCTGATACTCCTGTATCACTCGCCAGATGGCAGCCTGGCTTACAGGCTGTGCCTGGTGTTGTCTTTTCATATCCTTTGAGCTCTGCGCAAATTAGAGGATGCTGCTAAAGATGGAGCTGGCAGGCAGGGGGGAAACTGGAATGCCACAGATGAGGTTGATGGAGGTGGTGAGAGAGGACAGATACAAATAATCTGTGGTATTTTCAGGGTGTTAGGGTTACCTTTTTATTCACTTCTGCCATGGCCACCTGCAGCACCATAAGCATGCCATCAGCTCCATGAATGGTGGTCCTCTCAGACTGTAAGACCCGGTGACGCTCCCTCCTGAAGGTTTTCACCATCAGCTTGAGTTGGTCTCCTATACCCTCCATTATTCCCTTAAACAAAAGCAACAAAAAAATTCTATCGCACATTTAAATGCAACAAAGTTGACCAACGTGCTTCACAATTAAATAAGAACAAGAGAAAACATTAATAAATTTTATATTTATATATATCTATATCATATATCTATATCTATCATATCTATATCTATCATATCTATCTATCTATCTATCGAGAGAGAGAGAGAGATAAGATGAGGCAATGACAATGTATTAACATAAAAACAAAACATAAAACAAGCCTGATGTTAAACTGAACTTGATTTAAAAGCCAACATAAAAGATGTGTTTTAAGTGTGATTTGAAGGACTGTGTAGATTCTGAAGTACGAATATCATATGGCAAGTGATGTGAAGTGATGTGTACCTACATTTGGACTAAAATGCTGCTGCAATGGAGAGATGAGTGTTGACGACCCAAATAGAGAAAACTGCGGTAGTCCAGTTTAGAGGTGATGAAGGCATGAATAAATTTTTCTAGGTCTTTAGGAGGAAGATGATGCTTCGCAATTTCACGTAACTGATTAAAAACCGATTTCACAACTGTGGACACTTGCTTCTCTAATTTAAAAGAGCCATCTAAAAACATGCCGAGATTTCTTACAGTGTGGAAATGATGACAAGCAAGAGGACCAAGGGCATCAGTTATCCAAAAGGGCCATGACTTCCAAAAACAATAACTTCAGTCCTATTTCCATTTAGGGCGAGAAAATTGTGTTTTAACCACTCTTTAACATCATGTAGGCAGTTAAGCAGAAGGTGAAGGGGGACAGAGACATACAATTTCAAGGGGAAGTAAATTTGGATGTCATCAGTATAACAGTGAAAGGGAATGTGTATTTCCTGAAAATGGATCCCAAAGGTATCATGTATAAAAAAAAAGCAGAGAGTTGGATCCAAAACAGACACAAAACAGACCCCGGTGGCACACCACAACAAACAGGGGGAGTATTTCCCAATAGCAACAGAAAAAGACCTCTCTTTAAAGATAAAACTGTGCCTTTAAGACCAACGACATGGTCAAGTCGGATAAAAAATAATGTTATGAATAACTGTGTCAAAGGCGGCAGTCAAATGTAAAGTGACTAAAGCAACAGAACAACCTTAGTCGACAGAGCTTCCTTGAAAAGGCGAGAAGGAAGAATATCTTGAGGGGAATTCGAAGGCCTTAAGTTACTGATTGCTTCCTTCAAGAAAGGAAAAAGTCACTGGCAAAAAAAAAAAAAGAAACCCTCAAAACCAATTTATACATATAGTTCTTTAAATACAGAAAGACATACCTGAAATTAATTTAAAGACTTAATTTTCATACAGGGTCTCAGTGGCATGTAACACCTTCGATAACTTGTAAGTATTTCACAGCAAAAATGTGTCCACATTTTACATCTACAACTACATACATATATACAACACAGCGTTTATTCACTTTACATTAAAAAAGACTGATTAAACAACGCAAACCTCTTAAATTGCTGCAGTCTTCCAAGAGCACACAGTCACGACACAAAGCAGCTGTTTTGAAATTTTAAATTGCCGATGACGTTGTTCCTTTTTGTCCAATCACCTCTCAGCAAATAGCGGGGGTGAGATTTTTCTTTTCGTAGAGATATTCAATTCTAAAACTCGACAGCTAGCTATAAGTTCGTGTCATTAGACGTGTTTCAAATAAAATCTTTCAGTAACGCTTATGGATTTTCTAAAGTGGTTTAGACTTTCTCCCCAAAAATTTCTGTTGCCATAACTAATACCCAACCACCCTCTGACATTTCTACTCGATGGTACGTTCCGTGTCGTAATCGGAAGAAGATTGAAAACATCTCAAACGCGGGCAGCGTTTCGTTCAAGGGATTCATTGAAAATAAGGTAGTAAAGTCTATCAGTTACTGCTGTGTTCTGAGTTTAGATAGACCCTCACCAGTAAGGGTTAGCTACGACATTGCCAGGCTGCGGTTTGACTGGTAAAAACGACAAGCAGTGCTTCCGCATTTAAACCAGCAGCACGTTTTGCTTCTAGACTGGTGACATGCTACCATTATTATTATTCTTCCACAAAAGCCACACTAGTTTAGCTGAGATATCATATTCACCTAGTTTTCCTTTACAGAAATAACATGAAAATAAACGACCTTGTTGCAACTTAGCGAGAAAAAACTTAACTCATAAGCAGTAATACAATTTTAAGCACTGTCTGCATTTGTACTAAGTTTAAAAAGGGGGGGACTCTGTGTGTATATTAACTGCGCCGAATCTAATGTTGATCAATGTAGTTTGGTAAAACATAGTCCAGCTGCGTCCTACTTGCTGTGCATGAGTCTGTAACTACTGGGATATGAAAAACAAGAAAGTCTTTGATTGACGTTTGGTTTTAGGATCCTTAGCAACTGTAACCCTGCAGACTTTTTTCCTTTTTTTTATTGAACATAAGCAAAAATACTGATTTAGTTTAGTTAAGTTTAACTTTATTTTTTATCTGCAAGATACAAAAGAGGGTTTATAAATCCCCAACTAGTGTAGTTAACAAAAACTAAGATAAAAGTAGGCCTGAAAACAATTTTAGTTGACTGAAATAAAATCCAGTCTAGACTTTTTAAAAATATACATTCAATAAGTTCCTGGAAATTTCTTGATATAATGGCATCAGTTGCAGCAGATTTGTGTGTTGTACCTCCATGATGTACAGCTACAACAAGTGGTTGTAGCTCAGGTGGTAGAGTATGTAGGTATGATGTATGAATGTGTGTGAATGTTAGAAAGATAGATGTAGAAACAAGTGCTTGTTTGAATGGGTGAATGATGCATGTTGTATAAAGAGCTTTGACTGCTCTAGTAGAGTAGAAAAACGCTATATAATAACAACTCCATTTACCACATCTAAGGTGCTCAAACACTTAACAGAACTGACTGATTTTAAGACATTACAATTAACACAACATTTATTTTGTGCCTGAGTATTTTGTGCCTTTTCATTAGAAGCCCATTGATTTACCTTTAAGCGTTAAGACAAACCTAATGTTATTTATCCTAAAAGTTGGGAACCTGTTTAGTTAATCAGTTAAAAATCAAGTTAAACACAACCTTTAACAAAATAGCTTAATATCATCATATATGTAGTGTTGAGACTTTTAATTATCACATTTATCATGACTACTGGTACATTTACCGATAATAATCTGATCAATGAACTGATGTTCTTGTTTAAAAGTGGTTTTAAACAACAGGTATTGATGATCATCCTAATCATTTCCTATCGGTTATCCTTCTGATTCTTTCAGTGGAAGTACGCGCGACATGCAGGAGGACTCAAGCCACAGTCCCAGCTACACCGTCCATGTGACGACTTTGTTCATGTGGTGGAGTTCAGTCCCTTCAGCTCCGGTACCCCGGCATCTCTCCTGGCCTATGGTGGAAACCAGTACGTGGTGGTGGGCACCTGCCTCTTCCAGGTTAGAGATACAGTCTCACGTGTTTTGGTTCACTGAGTGCACATCTGTTTCCTTCTCTGAATGCAACTTTGCTCCTACAGGAGGAGGATGTGGAGGTCGAGGGAGTTGAATTCAATGTTCTTCGAGCTTTTCACCATGAACTGCGTGTCGACGCTCTAGCCTGGAGCCCGAGTCTCGGCTGGACAGGATACCCACTATCAGGTACTAGGCCACTTGCATTCCACGTGCTTTGGCCTTCTTCTGTTTTTTTTTTTGTTTTGTTTTTTTATATCCAAATCAAGTCTTTTTATTAACATCGTTCACTTTGTAGCTCGGTGGCTTGTTTAAAACTCTTCATGTAAGCGCTTTCTGAAACATGAATGAAGACACCCATGTTCAGCTTCGGGAGCTGAAGACATTCAAAACATGGGTGGTCACTTTTGAGCTTGATTGAAGTTTCTCATCTGATGTTTCTGGTTTTCGCTGGGTTAAATCAACTGCCCCCTGCTAGGGCTGGGCGATATGGCCTAAAATTTATATCGCGATATAATTTCAAGCATGTGCGGTAACGATATATATCACGATATATTCTTTTCTTCTGTATAACGTATTTTCCACACTATAAGGCACACTTAAAATCCTTTAATTTTCTCAAAAATCGAGAGCGTGCCTTATGTATGAATTCTGGTTGTGCTTACTGACCTCGAACCGATTTCTGCGTGCAGAAATCTGTTAAAAAATGTTTAGTACAACTTTGGTAAGCCGCACTGCTTGATGGATTGTCAGAGCATTATGGCTGCCGTAGTGAGGAGCTTCGCGGAGTAATCTGGGTCCAAAACTCCATCCACTTCAGGTCCCAAAGTCAAACGAACACTAACGGTGTGTTCACACCAAACGCGATAGACGCGAACGAAAACGCCCCAAACGCCCCTAATTTGACGCGTGCACATTCGCACCTCGACGCGTGTCCAAGAAAAATCCATCGCGCCTCAAAATTGCATACTTTGACGCGCGTGAACCGGAAATGTGGGAGGAAGTTGTGCCAGACCGGTATCTTTGCTAGATGGCAGCTGTCGAGCTAGCGCTTGAAGAGAGAGTCTCCCTTCTCTATTTACTGTGGAGAGCAGAGCAGCGGCGTTAAGGACGTCCTCGCCGTACCTGGGTCCATCAGGTCCTCCAGACGCGTGAGCAGTTTGGTGAGTTTCACCACTTGCTTCAGGAGCTGCGCCTGGATGAGGCGATGACAGCGATATCGCCGTCTTTCCCTCGCCCAGTTTGAGGACCTGCGGCCCGCGCTGGTCCAAGCATCGCCCGCCTAGACACCAACTACAGGCGCTCAATCCCACCTGCAGAGCGCCTGTCCGTCTGCCTGAGGTTAGTAAAAGTGTTTAATACGGTAGTCCTTTATTGATACCTGTGCTAATATGCTAAACTATCGTTTATAGACTGCTAACATGGATGTGCTATGCTATCAATGAATGCCGTTGGTGTTTACTGATATCAAACTGTAGCATTAGACCACTGTGGGTTAATCTTTGTATGATTAGGCTGCTCGATTATGCAAAATGATAATCACGATTATTTTCACTGAAATTGAGATCACGATTATTTGACGATATTTATTTCGTCCGCAGAGTTATATTATTTTTTTTACATGCTGTAGTGCATTGTGGAGCATTCAAGTTGCTATACATCAATACAACTGTTATAGCCATATTTAAAATGTGTATGCACTAGTCCATAGTAACTACATTAATTGCAAAAAAGTGCAATAAACTACAAAAAAATTGAAAATCGTTTTGTTTTTACATATATTTCTACTTGGAGAAATTTAAGAGGTTATCCCTCAAAACTTTAAATACAAAAAGTTGCAAAAAATAGTTACAACAACAGGAAATTTATTTTGACTGTCTTCATAGTTTTATTTTTGGAGATACAGCAATTTTATATACTGCAGGAAAAACAAAAAAACAATCCTATGATGCAAATTTGCAAAGAATGTGCATGTGCATCAAAATAAACTATTTCCAGCAGTGCAATTCGAGTTCTAAGGCCTACAAGTAAAAAACTACATTTTCCGCAAAAATGACGTCACTTGCGATAGTTCACGTTGACGTCTTTTCAATGTGGGAAGTGTTAAGAACAGCTGATCGGATCGGCAAAGCGTGTTTCTGGAATATTATGTTTTTGTTCCTGCAAGCTCTTTTTATGCAATTTTTGCAAAGCTATATGTGAAGGAAACCGTGACCGAGGACAAGCTGATGCATAAGATGTAAGTACAACTCCTCTGGTTTCATATGGAAAAAATTTATTGTGCTAGCTTAGCGTTCAGGTTCTACAGGGATTTAAAAATAGTTACACAAACGAGCATGCTGCTCTGACCGGCTTTAAAGGTTTAACAATAACAATGTATTGAATAATGACTTTAAAAAATAATATAAAATAGTGTGCAAATACTGATAACAGTGCAAATGTTTGCAATATAAGAAATAAATGAAAAATGTGAACTTTGCAGTGTTGCTCTGTGGTGCAGCTACGACACCATAGCAAAGTTTACACACTGTGTCTACTTGATCCACGTCTGACTCCGCGAAGCCATAATGTTTCCACACCACTTAAGTTTTTTTTTTTACCTTTCTTTTCAACCAACTGCAGTCCACTCCTCTCCAAATAACTTCTGCTTAGCTTTCCGAGCTTCCCTCGGTCCTCTTAATTGTTGTGACGCGTGTTCGAAATGCAGAGCAGTGCGCTTGATTTGCCACATGGAGCAGCGCGAGAGTAAGCATGAGGGAGGGCTAATAATCGGCTCAGTCATTTTAATGATCGTTGAAAGCCAATCGTAATCGTGATTAAATTCGATTAATTGAGCAGCCTAGTAGTGATACTCACTCCTTTTTTTATTTAGACCTGGTTTAATTCTGGTATAGTTGAATATTTGTATATAATCCCTGCAGCTGTCAGACTCTATAACAGGGGTCACCAGCCTTTATTAAAACTGAGAGTTAGATAAAACTGAACAGTTTGGTTCATCTTTAGTTGCATGGTTCCATCTTGATAAGCTATGTCTTATCACAGATTTATTTTTCAAAAATATTAATGATATAAGAAAGGAAAGGGCTACATGTCAACATAAAACTCTTTATTTCTATTAATGTCTTACTTCATTCCTACCTGATTGACATGTTTAGGAATTATGAGTGATTGGCTCACTGTAGTTGTGAAAGTTGCTACCAATCAAATTATGATATGTTAAAGTTAAAACAAAACACAACTGTTTTAGATATTATCTAATATACATTTTGTAATTATCCTTATAATTACAAAATGTTTTATGTAAGATTCAAGTTTTGTGATTTAAATCTGACATCACAAAAGTATTTTGGAATTTGAATAATGTATTTTGTAACTGCAGTACACATAATACTGATTTTGAACAATTTTGTCCAGGTTCCTTGTCACCGGGGACTCCTTCCAAGCGTTCAGTTACAGAGTCGGTGTGTCAGATCACCCCCCAGGTAGCGACGTCCATCTGGGACTGTCTAGTGGACGACTTCATGGCTGTGCCTTCACCTGGAGACTGGCGGTCCATCACAGAGGGATTCCAGGAGCGCTGAAACTTCCCTCTGTGCTGTGCAGCTCTGGATGGGAAGCACATCCAGACAAAGGCACCCCATATATCATATAGGAGACACACACATTGATATACACTAAATATTTATTTCATTTCTTTTTTTTGTGGTGCCCAAATTTATGCACCTGCTTGATTTTGTTAAAAAAATTGCACACTTTTTGTAAATCCAGTAAACTTCTTTTCACTTCTCAAATATCACTGTGTGTGTCTCCTGTATGATATTTAACTGACATTTTTTATTGTAACAACCAACGATTTATACAGGAAAATAATGGCTATTAACAAGGTTGCCCAAACTTTTGCATCCCACTGTATTAGTATATTTTGTCATTAGTATAATATGAAATAAATTCTACATGTCAAGTCGTGTGCCAACGTTTGCTGTGAACTAGAGACATTTGTCATTATAAAAATTTATTTGAAATAATATTAAAATTCTCGAACAGAAAAACATTAAACATAAATATATAAAATATAAGTATTTACAGAGAGACAGGAATAAAAAGGACCCAGCTGCTCTCCAGAGCAGGAACAAGGCTGAGGAGGAAATGCTCCATTGGAGACTGGTGTGGCCTCTTCAGGGACTCCAGGATGGCCAGCTCCACCGCCGATGGACCGTCCCTCATCTGCCTCGGAGCCGTCCTCCTCTGAGGACCTGTAAAACAGCACAAAACACAAAGAAATGAGAAGGCTGCTACTAGATTTTAATTTCAACATTGAAAACAAAAACAAAAAACAGGATATAATCAGATTAGTTGTAGATATTTAGTAAAGGTGATCACAAGGGAATCCAACCGAGTAAAAAGCTATCAGTGCTTGCTGTACATACCTGTGGGTGCAGCAGCAGGAGCTCAGGGACTGGGGAGCCAGGAGAAGCAACAGGGGATGCTCTGCTGCAGAATCGGTTGTCTCTATCAATACAGTATTAAATGTTAACAGGTTGAATATAATAATCAGAGAAAGTATATACAGTGGTCCATCATTTATTGCAGCAGGGGTTCTCAGAAACACTAGGCCCTGGCCACGCACTTCGTATACTGTTTTCCCCACACACATGAACATTGGTCACAGTTCTCACAATTGATTCTCAAAGTGCAAACCTTTGTAGATTGCAAAACGTAAAAGTATTATTATGCCGCGTTTTGTCTTCATCTGCCTGCCACTTTCGTGCGCCTTTTTCCCTTGCGGTGCAGGTGTCTATTTCCGAATGAGGGTCATAGTTATGGGTGTTTTTGTGCGGTTTTTTTTTCTATTGGACGTGATGGTTATCAAAACCAAACATGATAAATTTGCCACGCGCAGGAGACACGGCACGGAGGAGATTTGTCAATCAGGCTGCAGAATGCAATGCTGTACTGTGCAATAAAAAAAAAAATCAGCGAAAAAGCGAGGCAGTGACGGATGAACAGCGGGACCACTGTGTGCTGTTTATTAATAAACAAAATATATTCCTATATGACAACATGCATAAAAGCAGAACGGTATTTGTACGTCCATGGGAAAATAGCGGTGGCTTGCTAGCTTGCCAGGTCAGTGAAAACTTTCAAAAGAGAAATGAATGAACTTACCAGGTTGCCCGATCTCT